CGATTCCTTGTAATTCTCTTGCAGATATATGTGGAAAGACACTCAGCATTATTTAACGACGCCTCTCTTGGCAGATCAGCTGCCAACAAAGCCAATCTTGTCCCACTTATTTAGACCGGTATCAAAAGTAATCTAAGAAAATTCCTGATAAGTTCTCTCACTTGTGGCTGCCATCCTGCCTTGCCTGTTGTTTGTTCAGTTTCTTGTAGATAGATGAGATGAGAAGAGTCCCTTAGCCAGATCTACACAGCAATCGAAGTAAATTGAAACCTATTTTTGTCCAATTTATTTAGACCTGTATCAAAGGTAATGCCTTTGATTTAGCAGAGCTACGAAACCTGTTGGCCAAATATCTGCCGAATCTGACAGTAGAAAGCGATATTGGCTATAAAATAACGTTCGTGCTAGAGACAAAGTACGAGGATAGATTCCCGAGCCTGTTCGACGCTCTGGAAGAGGAGATGGTGAACCTGGACATAATCAGTTTTCGCTTGCGCGACACATCCTTGGATGAGATCTTTATGCGGTTTGGTTCCGAGGAAGGTGATGTCAGCGGTGAGACAAACTTATTGATCGAAGACCTGAATTTGGTACTCGAAGAAGCCGACAGCAATGGGCGCGCCAAAGGACGCAGGCTAACTCAGATGCATATCCAAGCCCTGTTCTATATGCGCTGGGTGCTCAACAAGCGTCAAATACCCGTAAAAGTCATCTATTTGTTAGCCCTGCTGGTGGCCACGGCTTGCACGTTTTCCGCTGTATTGCTTTATGGCAAGAACTATCAGCTGATACCGATTTCCTTCAATTTAACGCAGCTGCACTCTATAGACGCGTTCGTGGAGACCATGTCTGATAGCTTGGATGTGCTCGAGATGCAGGAGTTCTTCTCGGAGCTGCTCTTCTGGTATGACGGTCATGTTAAAGTACTGGAGACCGCGGACATCTCGGACTTCTATCTGCTGCAGCAAAGCGAATTCAACAAGGTTGTCAATTTTCGCTACATGTTCGGCGCATCCTTTGGCCAGGACTTGATAACGGTCTGGTTCAACAATATACCACTTCATGCTGCTCCATATGGCCTCAATTTGGTGCACAATGTGATTGCACGGTAAGAACTTGAACTTGAAAATCCTTGAAATCAATAAGGATCGAAGCTTTTTACAGCCAGACACATAAAACGTAGTCCATAGACTGTCGCGTATTTTACATAAATTTAGAATATTTCAATTTTTGTATACCCTGCCGAAATTATAAGAAACGCTTTCTAATAACGGATAGCTTTAGAGAGACTAGTCTGATAATCTTATTTTTGTTAACAACCCGATCGACTGCAAAATCTTGTTGCGGAAAACTCATGCGATGCGTATTTCACGCTTTTCGGATCCAATCCAACCCTTTCGGTTGTTTTAGATAAATTTTGAATTGTTTGCCTAGAACTCATTTTAAAATAATTTTATGTTATGTTAAAAGTTGTACGGGCGGATTTGAATTTCACGCGCATGGGAAATGGGTGAAAAAGCTGAGTACAAATTTAAAACCAAACACTTGACCCGTTTAAAGCCGAGTAAAACCTGCTATCACATATACAATAAATAATAATTATCATATATTAATTACCTGATCTTATCAACCGCAGACGCTTTGTCAACGAGGAGTCTTCCATCGATGTGACCCTGCAACCGCTGCCATTTAAGGCACGTGTCAACACGCTGCCACAGACGCCGCTTAGCCTGGGCGGCATGATGGCCATCAATTTTTCGTTTATATTCAGCAACATATGGCAGGGCATTGCCATTGCCAGCATACTCGAGAAGTCCTTCAAGAAGCAACAGTTTCTCACAGGTGTGCGACTCTCCATATACAGTTTCTGCTTGTCCCTCTTCGATGCCATAAGGGTGGTGCTGATGAGCATATTCATGATAATGATGATAGCTGTCTATCTGAGTCCGCGACACGACTTTCATCTATACAGTGCGTACTAATTAAATCCGATTATCATTGTGCAGTTGCTAATTTTAGGCATTCTATCCGCAGTCTGGGTTTTCTTTGCGCTGATTATGAATGGCTTCTCTGTCATAACATTATCGTACGTGCTCACCAGCATTTGCAAGGACCCAAACAATGCATTTGTCGCCGTTTCATTTATAAATACCATCGGAATTATCATTTTCACGTTAACTGTCGGCGATAGGCTGGCCGATATGAGCGATGCGTTCCAGCTATTACCCCAATACACTTTCAGCGAGATCGTGTTCAAGCTATTATTTCTGTACGAGTACCATTGGCTCTGCAAAGATGAAAATATCAAATTCGTCTCGTCCAAGGTCGAGAAGTGCCGCATTACTCCAAACTGTTGCAGTTAAGTATCCAGCCATATGCCATATAGATTTAACGGGCACGCCAAAGATTTAATACCCAAGCGCATAGAAGAAGACATCTCTGATCCCATCAAGTATATATATATATTCTAGATCAGCATTAACAGCCGAGTTTATATAGTCCTGTGCGTCTCTCTCTCTCTCTCTCTTTCAATGCGATTCAATCTCTTAGTTTTATGTCTTTTATGACTTTCGTCGGCTGCCATAGAAATGGTCGGTAGATTCTTGTATGAAACTCTTGACCAAACTCGGAATATAATATTTCCACTATGGGCCGCATATATATAAGCAAAATCTTAGTAATCAGCGGACCGGTATATCATATTGCTTGCTCTAGCAAAGATCGAAATGTAGATTCTTATATTCTGTTTTCCTAGATATTCTCATTGGCTTCACTTATTCTTTCTCGTTATCAACTTTAATAAATCCACAGCAAGAGGCTGACTATGCAGATAAATATCCTGTTCCTATAGGAACGATCTGTGCATATATATTGAAAAGCAAGATTTATATTGTTAACTGAACCACACGGAAGTGTCGGCTGTTTGACATATTGATCCGGTTTATAAGTTTGCATAGACACAGGCTACAATTACTGATTACCTGAAAAAAGAAATTCAAAAAAGTATCAACATTCTGACTCATAGATAAATCAAATTAAAAAATTTGTCAATTTACCTGCGTCCACAGTCTCGTACGATTACTGGAGGGGAAACTATGGCGTTATCTTTGACGTATTCATGTTGCTCTGCGCAATAATGGTGCCCTTAGCGCTCTTCCTTGTGGGAGAACAGTACACGCTGATGGCATGCACGTGCCTGCACCGGGCAATACCGAAGAAGTGCATTTGGAGTGAGAAGCAGGATCATCAGGCGCGCCATGAGGGCATGGGTGCCTATATGGTGGACGAGTCTGTCATTGCCGAACGGCTGCGCGTTGAGAAACTGACCGAGCAGGAACGGGCTGAGCTGGCAGCCGTATGCCAGGGCATTGGCAAAAGCTATGGCAATAAGTCGATACTAATACGCATAGATCTTTGCATATCCAAGTAAGTGGCGCAACAATTGACCTGTAGCATATTCAAAGCTGGTAATCGTGTCGTCTCTACAGGTCCGAATGCGTTGGTCTCATGGGCTACAACAATACCGGCAAGACGACACTGGTCAAAATGATGGTGGGGGAGACACGGCCGTCGCACGGACGCATCTGGGTAGGGGGCTACAGCATGGAGTTAGAGCGCGCCAAGTGTTATCCTCTGATGGGTTATTGCGCCCAGCTATCGATATTGCCCAAAGATATCACACCGCGCGAGATACTGCACATTCAGTCAAAGCTGCATGGGCTGCCCACCCAATTTGCCATACAGGTCTGCGATGCCTTGTCCCATTTGCTGGGATTTCAAAGCTGTTATCATCAGCTAATTTGCCTATGCACCACCGGACAGGTGCGCCGCATCACCTTCGCGCTGGCCATACTCGGCGATCCGCTGCTGATATGCGTCGATGGACCTCCAGGTGGCATCGATCCCAATGGCAAGCGCACCCTTTACAGCCTAACCGCCTACATGCAGAATCGTGGCTGCAGCTTTCTTTACACTAATCTCTCTGGCTTGGACTGCGAACGCATGTGCCAGCGCACTCCGGTCCTATATGATGGTCAGCTGTGGACAATGGGCGCCCAAGAGCAGCGTTATCGTCGCGGTTACCTGCTGGAGGTGCACTTTAAGCGAAAGGCGAATGCCGATATTAGCACGGCGAGGAGCACCTGGGATCGCATCAATCAGTTTCCCGTGTCGCCACACAACAAGTTAATTCTTTTCGTTCAAGTGAAATTCCCGGAGGCGACGTTACAGTAAGTGATCGGCCTTGCCTGCACACATCGTCAAATGTTACTCAAATCTTCGAATAAATTCCACAGGCATCAGCAAGAGAGTTCCATGACATTTTTTATACCACGCAATTCCACTAATTTCTCGGAAATATTTTTGATCATACGCAAGGACGCATTCGAATTGAACATTGAGGATTTTTATATCACTCGTAACATTGTCACGGGCATGCAAACAGATCTTTTCGATCGTTCAGCACTGAAGATTGCCACCTAAGCTATGTAACTATCACAAATCTAAGTAGAGTCAACACAATAGATTTCCTTTACTCCAAGCTCTCAATAAAATGCATATTGCCTACTCTTCAAGTGTCATTCGTCTCAATAAAATTTAATATTGCAGGTCATCCAGCAGTCTTGCAAACTGCCGTCAAGTCTATTGTCGCATTGTTTTTTTTTTACTAGAGTAGCCTTGTTTGAGTAATAGCCACTGTTCACATTTCTTGCAAATATTTGAAAATGTCATATTTTTGAAAAATGTGTAGAATGCGGCCTGTACGTTTCTCCATAAGCAAACACATTTTAGACATTTTTCAAAAATATGTCACATTGCCAATGGAACACCAATATGTTGACATTTTTTAAGCATAGTAAACAAAGGCTATAATATAGCACGATTACACAACACTCTCTTCGATTGCAACGAAAATCACGCTGGGCAAGAATAATTACTTTACTGTTCATTCGATTCAATTCGACTTTAAAAGCACTCTAATTAAAATTATTAAAAATGTATTATTGTTTTTCATTGATGTATGATTTATTCGTTTAATAAATTCTTGGGATGTGTACAACTAATCTACCGAAAATAAATTGTGCTTACACTCACGGTATAAATTTTAAAAAGTTACCAAGCGCAAAATTGTTATACAAAATTTAACAAGTCTTTGGTTAGAAAAAAATTAAAAAAAAAAAAAAATAATAATTTACCGATTATTTTGCAGAAACCGTGGTGATCTTCTATTTGTTCCTATTATATACACGGTTTCTAACTTTAATTTCGCTATTAAATCACAAATTTTACAAGGCAATGCCGTTTACGTCCGTTAGTTTCTATCTTAAAATCCTTTTTGGTTAGCCTAGCGTATTGGTTGTAAAACTCTTGGGTTCACCGACAGTAGTTCTACCCAGTATTCGGTGGCAGTTTCTGCATTGGGGTATATTAGGTAAATATAGTCGCGAATATCTGGATACTTAGCAGCCACAACATTTTCGACGGGATCTGCTTAAAAACAGGTGGATAGGGAAATAAAGTTATTTAAATTTATAACATAATTTTAGTACAAAATACTACTTAAGTAGCTCAAAGACTACATACGCAACCAAATGCCAAAAAAAAAAAATACAATTCTACGTATACTGCAATTAGCACAGGTCGTTAATTTAAGCACGTTTCTGCTAATTAATGATTAGCAAACAAAAAAAAAAGATAAAAAAGATATACAAAAAAAAAAAAAGATATCAATTGGCTAGCGGTTTCAAGCGAGGCTTAAGTACACGATCGGCCGTGGACAAGCATGTGATCAAATGTAAGCAAAAGCTATCAACAATTAGAAACAAAAAATTGAATATATAGTCCGTGACTAGCTCACTTCACGTTGCGTTTATCCTCAATCTGTAACTGAGCAAATTCTAAGAATATCTCTTCCAATGTCGTCTGAGTTATGGAGTAATCGTCCAGATTTAGATCATTCCGATTGCGTTCAATTACGCCAAAGATTTCCGACCATTTGATGCCTTGCAATGGAATGTAATATGTCAACATGCCCTGATATTCTTCCCTAAAATTTCAAGAGTAGGTTGGGATTTATTTCGAATTTGCATTAGCCCGAGACTTACTGCAAAACGGCATTTGGGAAATTGGTGCTGACAAACTTCTTGACTTTGTCAATGTCATTCTGTATTTGATCAGGGCTCAGTACAACATCCTCCTCAATTTGCCTATTGGGTGTATTGGAGCTGTATGCCAGCAATTAAGAATATTTATAGATATATATATATATATATATATTTATTAGTGGCATGCATACAGATAATCCACTGACCTGCTCGCTTCTAGTATATCAGCAATGCTGCCCGAGTAGGGAATCGGTGTACCCGGCAACTGCTCCATTGAGATTTCTCCGTTCCTGAAATTGTTGTCGTTACGGCCCAATGATGTTCTGCTCCTGCCATCGTAGGCAACTGGCGTCGCCGCACTGCTGCTCTCGTATGGAAGCGGTGTCCTCAAATCTTCATCCGAGACAGGCGCTTTGAGCATGCTCTCTTTGTATGGTTGTTGTTGTTGACTGCGAGGTGCTCCACTGCGTCGGACTTTCAGTTTGAGTACACGACCTTTAGAGAACTTGTTTTTCAAATGCTGCGTGGAGCCAATGCACTTGAGCTCGCCATTCACCATAACAGCCAGTCGTGTGCATAGTGCCTCGCACTCCTCCATGCTGTGAGATGTTAGCACGATTGATTTGCCACCATCCCGTAAGCGACACACAATATTCCATAGGTGACGTCGTGCAGCTGGATCCATGCCCGTGGTGGGCTCATCCATATATATAATAGCTGGAGAGCCAATCACTGCGATGGCCGCGCTCAGTTTACGCTTATTTCCGCCGCTGTAGTTCTTTGTCTTTTTGTTCATATGCTTGGTAAAGCCAAAAGTCTTGCCCAGATCCTCGGAAATACTTTTGATGTTCGCCGGCCGCACGCCGCGCAACAGGCAGAATATTTTAAGATTCTCACGGCCTGTTAAATTATCTAACAGCGCATCGAACTGCGGACAGTAGCCAATCTTGTCGTATACTTTGGTCATGTCTGTCTTCAAATTCAGGCCCTGCACATACGCAGCGCCCAAGGATATCGTCTCGTCTCCAGTCATCATCTTAAAGGTAGTCGTCTTGCCAGCACCATTGACACCCAACAGGCCAAAGCATTCGCTTCTACAATATGAAGCACAAATTAGTGTCTTTTCCGCAGCCCAATAGAAACAAAATTCTTACTCTTCCACACAAAGCGACACCTGATTGACGGCAAGAAAGGGCCCATAATACTTGACCAAGTTATCCAAAACCAGATTCTTGGCGGCTTTCTCTTCGGGAGACATGTTCTCAACGCGCAGCTTCTCCTTCAGCACATCGTCGTCCATGTCAGTACGCGGATCTGGATGACGTTTCCTCCTAAAATGTGAGCAAGCCAAACAGGTTGAAGTCAAAAGTAACTTATTAAACTGCTAGCTTCTACTAGATATGACCCGGTCCAGCACGTGCACAAACGTGTGCCCTTTGGAAGAAAATCTTGGTGTGCAAGGACAATTCTTTTGAAGCAGGATGGACAGACAGACATGGACATGGCTAGATCGACTCTGCTGTTTGAAACAAGCTGGACACATAACAAGGTGTCTCTTGTACAGTGTCTGTACTATAATCCTGCCCTGAACCAAGGTTATTCATGAATGCTATACCCATAGTATGGGGGCGAAAAGTAGAAGCAGAGCTGTTTGCGTACAGGATAGATGTTAGTTGTGCACACACCACTATGCACTGTTGTTTGCACACACTTACTTTAAAAATTCGAAGTTCAAGTGTATGCCATATGAGCCTAACACGAGCAGTAGGAAAATGATGATGCCGACACAGACCATGGTAAGAATCTCGATTAACACTCCGGGATATTCCCAAGCAAAGTAACCCGGGATGCCTGTAGGAATAGTCAAAGGGTTAGAGAGCAAAATGATCAAGTGAATGTCTACTTACTGCAGCAATTTGGCACCATCTCACAGATTAGAATGGGCGGCAGGCCGCTAAGCTTGGAGCAGGCAGATCGCGAGGCAGCATTTACGCTTATCTTGTTGATGCACATGGCAAGCGAGAAGTGTGGATAAAGATTAAAAATTCGATTCAGAATTTTATATAGAATTGAGTCGTCGTAAAAGTTTGCAAGTAGAACGAATGTAAGGAATACCGCTATGCCAAACAAATTATTAAATATAGAGATGCGTGCGTAGCCTGTCGATGCGTCCTTAAAGTATAAGGAGAAGGCGTAGGTAAAGGGCAGCACGCAAAATGTAAAGATGATTAGCACGAAAGCGATGCGACCCAGCTCGTCGAATGTGCTAAAATGTATTTCCTGGAAACAGGCCAATGTGACAATTATAACCAGAACCGTAAATAAAAGCGTGATGAAATCCCAGAGAAACAGTGAAAACCAGAATATCCAACCCTTGACGCCGCAAACGAACTGTAACAGTTTGGCCCGCGATTGCCGCTCGTTAATCACAAACAGTGCGTAAAAGGCGGTAATAAAGCACATACAGAAGGCTATATTGGAGGCCAACTGTGTGCCCAGACTGGAGCCCATCTGCAACTGCTGCAGCAGTGTTTCCGTCTTGTAGGGCAGCGGCCAATTGGTAACACTGATTTTCGAATTCTCTCCGATCACTTCCCGGGCAATCGCATTATGAACCATGTTCATTGTGAGCGGTGCCGTATGCAGCGGCTGATTGTTCAGCCAAGCGATTATTTTATCATTTCGAAAGGTGGCGGCTGCCAGGTATCGTGCGTTTATCCAAACCTGCAGGGATGCGCTCAGGTCCAGTATGTACTTCGTAAAGGATTTATCGCCCGTGCTCTCGTACGTATAATCTGGGCCAAATGACTGTGCCATCTCTTCGTATTTATTGGCAATGCGATTATTTAACGAATTCGCATTCAAGTCTTGCCCGCGTTCCATGACAGTCACCGCAACCGGATACTGTGCCAGGCCGATCTTAATCGCCGGCAGATCACGGCTGGTACCACGCGAACGTGCGATCATTATTGTCAGTACCACAAAGAATACGGCCACAAAGTTTTGTAAGATAAGCAAAAATAATTTGCGATACGAATAGATCGCCTTCTTGTAGATCATAGCATGCCATTGGTTCGATACCAGTTTCATGCCGCGCAACAGTTGAGTATTGTTCGAGAGGGCGGCATCCGCTGCAAACAGTTAATTGAGCTTATCAGAAAATGGTCAAATGAAGCCAGAGAATAAGCTCAAGCACTGCTTACATTTCATTGATTCGTTGTCAACATTATTAGTTACAGCACCTCCTTTTAACCTGTCCGCCAGTTCCTCCTCATTCCGATCGACTGTTACATCGGCACCCATTTTCATGAATACCTCTTCCAACGAGGTATTGCCCACGCCAAAACCATTCAGATTCAGTTCCGCTGTGCGACTCTCCAGTTCCTTGAATAGTTGCTCAAACTTATACGAATAGTTGTCGGGCAAATTATAGGCCAGCTCTGTCCCAATATCGCTTTTTGGCCGTATTCCGGGAATATACTTGCTAAGCATTGCCGTCACCTCAGCCGGTTGACAATTGGCCTTCTTAACGCATACCTGAATTACAACAAACATTTAATTAACAAAGTGTGTATGTATGTGAGACATATTCTTGATCAATATCAATAGCCGAGTCGATATAGCCATGTCCATCTGTCCATCTGTCCGTTCGTCCGCCTGTCTGAACTAGCTTCTCATTTGTCGTTGTTCTTTCTGTCCGGCTGGACCACTATATCATATACTTAGTTGTTATAGTATTGATCGGTCAAGAAGTAGTTTCTTGTATGAACAAATTTGTTGTTAATCAAAACATCTTGTTCAAACTCGACATTTCTTAGTCTAAAAAGGCTTCTCACACACAAGCAAAATCCTATCAACATCGGATCGCTATATCAAATAGTTACCATAATCACGATCGGTCGAAAAGTAAATTCTTGTATGGAAAACTTTTCTATTTTTTAAGATATTTTTACCAAACTCGACAATTTAAGAATTCAGGCATGCCACGATAAAGAAAAGTGGGCAGCCGATATAAAAGTTACCTTTAGAACTGAATTATATATATATGTTAGTGTAATATTAATGTTTATCTCCCAACAAAGCACTTCTACATTCCCCGTGTGACATTTTGATTTACGAATATGTGCCTAGAATATTCCTAGAATAAAGTTGTAAAGTTGGCTGCGGGTGCAGTGTATAATCTAGTCTGCCACCTTCAGCTAGGAGCAAAGTTTTCTCCTTTCGTTCGATTCTAAGCTAAAGAGCTGCCTGTCGCGTATAAGTAGTTTTGTGCACTTACCAGACTATAGCCAGGACCGAATTGCTTCTTTAGAAAGAATGAGGAGCCGTTACATTTGATCATTCCATCGCACATGATGGCAATGCGATCGCCCAGAACGTCGGCCTCATCCATAAAGTGGGTGGTCAGCAGAATGGTGCGGCCCGCTTTCTCGTGTCGCAGTAGATCCCACAGTTGTCGTCGCGCAGATGGATCCATACCGGAGCTTGGCTCATCGCAAAGCACAACCTTGGTATCGCCGCAAAGGGCACAGCAGAGCGAAAGTTTGCGTTTCATGCCACCCGACAATTTATCGGCAGCAGTGTTAGCTTTATTCTCCAATTGAATCATCTTCAGATACTTGTCCACCTCTTTCTTTATGGCCTTGCCCTTAGCACCTTTCAGACGACTAAAGAATCGCAAATGATTCGCAACACTCATATCGCCAAAGAGCACATTATGCTGAGGGCAAACGCCAAGAGACATGCGCGCACCCTTGATATTGGTGCAGATATCGCTGCCATTGATGATGGCCGTGCCGGAAGTGGGCGGCAACATGCCAGTCAGCATGGATATGGTGGTCGTTTTGCCAGCACCATTGTGGCCCAGCAGCACGGTTATCTCATCTTCGAACATTTTAGCCGATATACCCTTGACAACCAGCTTGCCATCAAATACTTTCTTCAGATTTTTTATCTCCAGGCCAACGCGTTTGTTTTGAGGCTCCGGCTCAAAGCCGACCGAAGTATTTTGTTCCGGTTCATTGTCAATATAATCAACACTCTGATATTTATTTTTGCCGCACCAAAAGACGCGCGTACAGGGAAAATACCATTTGCGCTTCACTCCATAATCGCCAGGAAATATCTGCTCAACATACAAGCATATGAGCATATAGAGAACAGCGGATATTAGCAGCATGATAATAACATATCCAACGGTTAAATTGTCATCGACGTTGACCGGCTTGAAAAGGTTATTCCACTGTAGACCTTCTCCCGTACCTTCGAAACGCATTATTATAGCAACGCCAAACGCCATTGCCGTATTCAATATAACACACAGGCCCAACTTTTCGGATAAAGTGAGCAGATCATAGGTTTCTGATGTGAACATATACGGGACATAGGTAATGAACCAGATAAGACCAGTCACCGCAGCTGCTGTGCTGGACTTTGAGAAGAAAGAGGCCATCATGAAGCAGAAGCAAATGGTGGCTGTTATGTACGCGAGGAAGAAAACTATCAGCACAGATATATCGGCATGGGTGAAGACGGCGACGTCATCGGTATAACGTATTTTCATAAAAATTATCATCAAAAGTATCGATATGGTGAACATGATGAAGAACTTAACAAACCAGGCGGCCCAGTGTAACCAGTTCTGTAGTCCCATTATTTTCATGACCTCCTTCAGTTGCAATTCCTTTTCGTTGGCAACGTACTGCAAGGGATTAAGGGATGTCGTGAGAAGAGTTCATCGATTAGCAGCGATGCAGTCGGCTGCAACCGACTGTCCAATACTCTGTTCACAGTGTAATTAAAGTTAAATGCGAGTAGGATTATCCGACTGGAAGATACCCTGAATATGTCACTAACAAATGTCACATCAAATTCGGAGAAACGGTATAGACAGCTTATGAGGGTTTAACATTAACTTGTTCCCTGCTGTCCAGATTTGCCTTCTCCTCCTCCACCTCATATAGTCACTGAGATCGATGTGTTTATCGACTCGTTTCGGGTTTGCCCGTAGCCTACTTTTGCCCATTATAAACTGTTTAAAACAAGTGAAAGGTTAACTCAATCTAGATTTGAAATGGGTTCATTAAATCTAAATTGAACGGACGGAACACAACTAAGATACAACTTTTAATTTGGTGAACAGTGTATATGGACAGAGGCTAACGATTGCTTACCTTGGTAATGCACGTGCAAGGATAGATAAAGCTCAACAGCAATAGGAACGAGAACATAGTGCTAATTGCGTTTATAAATGGATCAATTAACCCGGCCGGATACGGATATCGCTGCAGCACAATCTCAGGCAAATCATTTTTAACTTTCGCCTTACTTCGTATATAGGACATGCTAATCGCGTTCTGTATGGGCAGGAAACCCTCGCGCAAATAGCCCGGAGGTGTCCCGCCATCGTCATCATTATAATTACGCGGTCCTGATATATAAGACGATAAAAATAGTCGCTTTGTTAGCCACGTGTTCCATATTGCGGCTTTTGCCGTCCGCAGCTCTGATGGAAAACGCAATGTGTATTCAAAATTGTCCATGGATACATTGAATAGTACGCCGGCAAAGGAATTATTGGCCACCACCTGCCCTTCAAGCTCCTGGGCATTGTCAACACCTGAAACGGTCATGCCCAGGCTTGCGGCCGCATCTTGCATTATAGACTCCAGTTCATCATTAACCGGCGAGAACACCAGCCTTAAGTTAGGCGGTCTACTTTGGGATAGCTTTTTTATGGATTCACTAAATATCGAATTTGTTACAATTAGTTCTTGGATATTAAGATTTTCATGATAAAGCGAAAGAACAGTGATCTTGGCTACGCATAAATGTATGTACAATAAATCAAAATTAAGTAGTATACAAAATTGTTTTAACGTGTTAAGCTGAACGTAAATAATTAATTTGTTTTCTTTTGACAAAAACAACAAATAATAATAAAAATAAAAGAAATTCACGGCATATTTCTATTAGTAAAATAATTTGCACCTAAAACAAACGATATGATTGGTTGCGCAGGGTAAAAATCAAAACTTAATTAAATTAAAATGCAAGCGAAAGCAATTTTTTGTTTCTATCAGGGACTGAAACGTACTGTCATCGATTTAGGAAAGCAAAAACCAACAAGACAACAAATTTATATATTCCATGCAGGTTTTGTTAGTGCGAAAAAGAAAAAAAACAACATAAAAGCCTTGCTATAATATACCAATTCAGGAGTATCTTTTTTTAAAAACGGATGAGTTTCTCGTCAATCTTCAGTCTACCCACGTGGGCGTGACCCGACATAATTTTAACCTTTCGTCTAACACGTAAACTCATGTTACAAGTCTCGCACATGAATACGGACAGACGGACAGAGACTAAGACGGAGCTTCCACAAAATCCATGTACGTTTTTCTTTACTGAGCAGTGTGTGAAAATAGTTGTTAGTTGTTTCGGAATAATAATCGGACAAGGCCAACCTGATTATCCACAGGCATCTCAGAAACATGAACTTTACGCCAACTTGCCCCCCTAGAAATATTCTCATAGAAAAAGATGCTTCAAATAACATTGAATCAAAAAAAACGTACACGTCAAAGTAAAAGAAATATAAATATGTTTCTTTCGCTTTTTTGCTAACACAACCAAAAATTAAATAATATTCACACATATTGAAATATATTTTCTTCTTCAGGCTTGAAGCCTTAGTTGATAAAGCAAAATGATGTTCAATTATTACAAATAACAACAATAACAAGTAAGAGGTTCTAGTCGGGAGCTCCCGACTAGGGGATACCGTGAACCCTCTGCTTCCAACATCAAATGCATATATATATACATATATATATTCTATTTTAGAAGCTATATGTCAAGTTTGCTGACTCTAGCTCTTATTATTTACCAAAATTGCCCAAAAAACACGATATCGATATCGATTTTTATCGATTGCTTGGAAACGGAGTAAGTTATCGATTATCGAAAACAAACTCGATCTGCGCGGGAACTAGGAGTACCTACATCTAAAATGTACGGATAGACAGATAGACAGACGGACATGGCTAGATCGACTCGGCTATTGGTGCTCATCAAGAATATATATACTTATGAGGTCGGAGCGTGCTTCCTTTTGCCTGTTACATACATTTGGATTTTGCACAAATACAATATACCCTTAAATCCATTTTTAATGGGTTCAGGGTATCAAAACAATAACAAATTTGTGCTAAGCAATAGTCCACTAGAATGGACTTTATGAAATATGTATAGCTGCAAGCCGAACCAATTTCTGATAACATTGCGCAACAAATCTATCCTTTTTTATGGTAAGGTTGCAACGTTGTTGATAAACTTGAGTCCACAAATGAAGTACTTAAAAAAAAAACAAATAAAACTAGGAAAAGCCAAGTTTGGTCCAGATAACCTGAAAAACAAGAAAGTTTGCCTCACAAGAACTTAATTTTCGAGCAATCGTTACAATGGCAACTGTAAGATATTAACTTATATCTAGACCGAAAAAGCTTTTCATGTAGGTTCATAATCATAAGTATTAAATCGGTTGCGATTCCAAAAGTGGTGTCGCTTGCGCTTGTAAACTCAAGATGTGCTCAAAGACAATTTAATGATGTAAACTTTTATCAATTTCATGAAACTTAAGTACTTATGCTCTCATAATCAAGTCCCAAGTTCGTACGGACGAACAGACAGATGATGCTGATCGAGAATATATATACTTTATGGGTTCGAACATACTTCCTTCTGCCATTACATACATTTCTACAACAAAATTTAAGCTTTTCCTCCATTTTCAATGGTTAGGCTGTATAAAAACATTTTCTTTATTCCGAGTGAGTCTACCAAAACATAAGGTTGCAGCCTTACCGGGTTTTCATTCTGAGCTGATCTGTAATTTGCGAAAGCTTAGTTGCTTTTTTATAACTTTGCAGACTGTACAATATGATAACTCTCTGGTTGGGATGATCCTTTAGTCGGAATAAAAAAGAAAACAAGTAAGAGGTTCTAGTCGGGAGCTCCCGACTAGGGGATACCCTGAACCCTCTTCTTCCAACACCAAATGCGAATTTGGTGACTCGAACTCTAATTATTTACCAAAATTACTCAACAGGATTTCGATATCGATTTTTATCGATTACTAGGAACGGGACAAGATCCTTGCATTCATACATACGGACGGACGGACGGATGGACATGGCTAGATCGACTCGACTGATCAAGAATATATATACTTTATGAGGTCGGAGATGCCTCCTTCTGCCTGTTACATACATTTGCACAAATACATTATACCCTTTTTACCCAGTGTGTTCTGGCATGTTAGCTTCTTTTTTATAGCAGCAGATGTGCTTCTACTTCCCTCAGCCTCACTTTGTGGGAAATTCATGCTCAAATATATTTGATATTTATTATTCGATCTTTCTGGAGTTACATCGAAACCGGCGTATACATTAACTCTTTAGATCTTTAAGGCTAGACAAACGTAATTTTGTATTTCTTAGAGTATGAGAAACCAAAATACCAAATTTCGATAGCTTCTATAATTTCCGAGCTATGCCAAACAGATCATGCAACAAAATCTACTTAAAAAAAAGGGCGAATATATATTTCGAATATCTACCCTTGAAGCATTGGCGATCGACCCGCTTATATAGACGGACATAACTGGCCAGACAGGTAAATTATAATCTCTTCAATACTATTCTTCTGCAAAGGTATAAATATTCGGCGAGGCAAAAGAGCGATTAGTTGTATTGTTTTTTGTTATTTATATATATATATATATATTTTTTTTTTGTTTTGTTTTTGACTTGTTTGATTTCACTTAGTTTTTTTTTTACCTCTTTGTAGTTAGTAGGTTCATGAGCGAATTCATTCGACGCCCATTTTCAAATTCAGATCTGAAAGTTGTGTTGATAACAAAATCATATTATAGATATTGAATGCATACGTATGGACGTGCACATAACCATATGCTACTGCTGCTGTTCTTATAAATATGAAAATATTTATTCTATAAATGAAAATTTTGAACGTAAAAAAAGGTAGCTTATACAAGGTGTGAATTGTATGGTTCATGAATGTAAGACCTTACATAGGACATACAAATATTTTTCTTATCAGGTCGTGTCTGTTTGTCTAGAAAACTCAGATCTATTCCTTCTCGTTCAAATTCATTTTCAAAGATCTTAACGAAAATTCATTTTAGGCGTGTTTCACACTTTTTGCAGAATTCAAGCATTCTCGATGGATATGCGATTTATAGAATTTTTGGGCTACGCATTAAGTTTTGTTCGATTTTTGTAAAATTCCAGCACACCAAGCTTGCCATGGGCAAGGCCGGGCAAGGCCGGGCAATACCTGTTAGTAATCTATAATAACGTAAATACTAGATTTGTGCACCAATTTTGTCGAAATTAACTTAGCTATTGATAATTTGAAGCTCCATTCTAAAGTTGAAACTTTAAGCTTTTAGATTTTAGCTAAGAGCAAGGTATTTATGCAGAGGGGCACAGCTACATTGACTCGATTATTAATTTTAATATTTGGATTTTATGCCGTTTTAAAAACTTGAACAATAAAAACAAGAAAGAATTCTGAATTTTGAATTCCCGAAGTTAGTGTATTCACAAATTCAACGTTTGACCAATTGTTCCTATGGTAACCATAAAGTGGTACGATTATAATGAAATGTTGACCGCCAACTAGGCGTAGCTACAAGACCAATAACGGATATTAACGTCAGTAATTTGAGTTGGCCGTGTCCCTCACGGATGGATGTGCGTCTATAGACTCTACCCGAAAGCAGCTGGAAGCAGGCTCTGGGTATGGACATGCCTCGGCCAGCTGAGCTGATTACTGATAGTCGGTCTAGAGAATGCAACCTTATATAATTACAGCATTGTGCCTAGGTATACGTGGCTGTGAAAGTGCTGGCTCGGAAACATACAAATTGAATTAAAAGAATATAAACAAACGGTGGGAACGAAGGCGACTGCAATTCAAAAAGTACTCTGACCCAAAGCCCACTTGTGAGAAAGCTTAAGAAGTATCTGTCTATAAACTGTTGGTAAATAGTTGCTTAAAACCTGGTGAGACATGAAAAACGTTATATATATGCCCATAGCGAAAGGTAGACGAAGCGGCATTGATATCGACCAGAAGTGGTCTAATTGGTTCGAGGCTAAGATATAGATATAAAGATGTATATACATAAAGGTGTGTAGATATGTAAAAATATAGATAAATATATATTTATATATAAGTGTAAATATAAATAAATATATGCATGTAAATGTTTAGATATATACATATATATATCTAGTTATATCGATTTTATAGTTGTATAGATGTATAGTTGCATAGATATATATGGACATGTAGCTATATAGATATAGATATAGATGTTAACTCACTTAAATAACTGTAAGCTGTCGATTTTTTGCTCCTCATAGTGCTTCTCTTCTATGTTTTCCACGTCAACTACGACACGTACCAGCGCGACCAGCAGTATGAATAATACCGGGAGTAGCAGTTCGAATACAAATTGTGTTTTGTGATTCAATTGAATAACCCAGTTTTTCCAAAGCAGCAGCAAAAACTTATCACATGTGGTTACTTTGCCCATGTTGGCTCATCCCTTCATATCCTGCTGCTAACTAATTTAACTCGCCTTATCCTTGGATTCCAATACAAAAACGTGTAAGACTGAAAGATATTTAATTAATAATAATAATAATAATAATAGTAATGTGAATCGTCGGCAACACAAAGAAACTTCGTTTTATTTCTAGAAAAGCACAATTAAAACTAATTATTATCAGATTTATGTATTTCTTAACTAGCTTAGCGCAGGATTTTAGTTGTATAGAAAATATGGACATGGAAACATTCAAATCAAAACGGAGCGAATGTTACGATAGGTGTCAAGCACGTCTCAAATGTTTTATATTAAGATCTTATGAAATGAATACTAAGCCAAATGTTTCAACCCAATTAATACCAAGGTGAAATATGTGTGAAAGATCCAAATCAAACGAATGTTTGAAAATGATTTTGAAGTTTCAAAAAAGTTGCATGCAACCCTTTTTTCGCGATTTTTCCACTCTTGCGAATGGAAGTTCGCAAATCCACATAGAATTAGAGTAGTCAACTTTTAGCTCAGTCAGTCAGTCAATCAGTCAGTCAATCAATCATTCCGAACAATCATTTCTATATGTAGAGATTAAGAGTGCAGGCATGATGCTTCATCCATCTTGGCTTATTGCATTTAATCTTGAGATTTTAAAGTGGAATTATCTCAGTTTAAAATTAACTAAAATACTAAATATATTCAAATATTTTTAATTTTGAGCATCAATATTCTCAAGGGAAGACAGTCTTCAGAAAAGTCTTCACGTTTCTACCAGGTGAGTATTTTAGATTTAACAGGTTATGGAAAGGGTTCCATCTGTGTATGCCAAACGAATAGAAATCTAACCGCTTGCCTCTTACAAAGTTTTGCACAAAATCATTTCAACCATTTTCAATGGACTCCGGGTACACAAAATACACTAAACGTAAAATCTCGTCGACGCATTTATCATAATTCCACATCGTATTCTATTTATAACCAGTTCATTGCAAATGATTTTAGCCTATTTCTGCACTTCGATCTGATTTAATTATAAACAAATATTCTCTTATTTGAACAAAATAAATTAGTTGTCTTCTATTTGTTCGACGGCTCGAGCCTTAAACCTTGTGTTCCCATTCCTTTTCACTGATTCATTTATTTTCACAGTAATATTTTTTTCTTTGTGAATAAAATAAAATTAGTTGGACATAGACCACGTTTGCAAAGCACAATTATATGCTATTATTTATTTAACTGTGATGTTGCACATTTTCAGAATTTATCATTTTTCTAGCTCGCACAAAATATAAAATGATTTTGTCAAAGACTGCCAGAAATAATGGTTTATATGCTTATACACTGAATAAATTTAATTGAATTATTCTAATAAGAAAATAAGAAAATAAAAAATTGTTGCTTATAATTGTTAAGTATTTAATGTAATTAGGATAAATATTCTAATTTCCGAGCGTTCTAAAATCATACGATTTTTTATTAACTTTCTTTAACAACAAAATGAAAATCACGTCTAAAAAATACAAACTAATCAAATATAGAATGTTTGTCGATTCGATATCTTTATTACCTTTTAGCCGAATTTACACTCATTCATAAGTCTTTAAGCTTTCTACTTTCTAGATCCACTAAGTAAACGCAAGTGGAAAACTAAAATCTACCCGTCTTGATTTACACTTCTATTTCTAAATATGATTTAATTGCATCGAATAAAGAAACGAGCGTTGGATCACAAATCACGTTACGGTTCACGAATCAGCAATCAATCCGTCAGTCAGTCAGTCAGTCAGTCAGGACAAACAGTTCTTTATAATGTTAGAGACGCCGCCTGCTGCATGTGACATATGTATACAGAAATCTATCATATACCCTTACAATCATTTTCAGGGTATCCAATCATTGGAACTGGCGTGGAAAATTCATTATTGGACATTTAGAACAGAGCGTAAAAACCGAATCAATTCGATGTGCTCGACTAGAAGATACACTGTAATTAGCACAATCGGCTTAACATATTAACATGTGTAAAATAAAAGAGTATTTATTTAATACACGTGGAATTTGGGTTTTGACAATAAGGCGTATAACATCGCCAAGAAATAAATCCCCGAGCACCCCTCAATCAATATTTAATACTATATTGGTTAAAAGCATCACGATTTGAATTCTCTTTTGAAAAAGCGACAATATATCAGCAATAAACTCGTTTTGATATGACATAGGAGCATATATACTTCAAATTTCAAGTTTCAGCTTTTGTAGTTTTCGTGATGAGCCGGACATAGCTAAATCGACTCAGCTGCTCGTCCTGATCAAACATACATATATACACTTTATGGGGTCGGACGACATGCCTTCTGCTGTCTGTTACACACACCCACACAAGACTTACACACTTACAAAAAGTGAAATCAATAATGCGCGTTTAGCCTAATCTACTAAGTAGAAGATGTTGAAAAAAGTAATGTAATTGTTAAAAACGGGAAGGTTTTGCTGTACAAACAATATATAAATCTAAATAGAAATATCAAATGCAATATTTTATATTATTTGCAGTTTAAGTTGAAGTTGTCTGAGTTGCTGCTCCTGCAATAATAGAATTGTTTTATGGTCTTGATTAGATAACGTTGCAGTAAGCTAACGGCAGACGGAGCTTAAGACAATTTCTCTCTCAGGTGAAATTTCAAAGTTCAATTACGTTTCGATTAGCTTTTTATTAAAGTTATAAATGATTAAAAAAAAAAAGCGGCTAAACAAAAAAAAAAGAATGGGCGTCAAGCCAATTGCATATTTCTACAGTTTCTCAACCTTGAACTCATTTTCAAAATGTCATTCGAGAAGTGTTTAACCGATTTGGAGCCGTAAAAGACGGGGTATTACCTGCCACTAGTCATTCTAAAAAAGAAAGTCTCAAATTATTGATAACAACGCTAATCTACTTAAGATTAGAATTAACACAGTCAGAATGGACTGATATGGTAATCTTGATTCTTTTGTTATCATTAGATGAAAAGCACTCGTAACACATACAAAAAAAAATGTGATTGCTGTCAGGCGTACCTAAAATGTCTCGTGACACTATTAAGCTATTTATTACACATTTACATTTGCATTAAATGTACTATTTTATTTTAAAATCACTTCTATTTTTCTGTCCCATATCCTGTCCGTGTAATGGATATTTCCTAATCGGTGAATATTTCAAAACTATTCAGTTTACAAAGTTCAAAAGAGTTCGTGCAGGATCCATGTTGCGCTCTAGTCGGGACTGCCCAACTAGGAAATACCCTGAACCCGGCTTTACAAACATTCTAATTTTCTTCTATACAAAAAATAAGTATGAGGTTCTAGTCGGGAGCTCCCGACTAGGGGATACCCTGAACCCTCTTCTTTAAACATCAATTGCATATATATATATATTCTATTTTAGAAGCTATATGTCAAGTTTGCTGACTCTAGCTCTTATTATTTACCAAAATTATCCAAAAAACAGGATATCGATATCGATTTTTATCGATTGCTTGGAAACAGAGTAAGTTATCGATTATCGGAAACAAACTGGTCTGCGCAGGCACTAGGAGCACCTACATCTAAAATTTCAAGTCTTCAGCTCTTATAGGTTCTGAGATCCTCGCGTTCATACATACGGACAGACGGACGGACGGACAGACGGATAGACGGACAGACAGACATGGCTAGATCGACTCGGCAATTGTTGCTGATCAAGAATATATATACATTTGAATTTTGCACAAACAATATACCCTTATACCCATTTTCAATGGATACAGGGTATAAAAATGCACTTTTATAAATTATGCTGCGGCTGTGCTTCTTCCCGTTTTACAATTTCCAGGACACAAATATGGCATCAAAATATGTGTAAGTCCCAAAGCCAAAGAATATAACTCCAAGAGTTTTTTACAATTTGTCAGAATTTTGGACAAAGTATCCCACAAGTTTAATATTCTTTCGGGCTTCAATAAACACAACATTGATCACTTTTTTAGAGGACATTCTAATTGAGGAATACATATTCTAAATCAGCATCAACAGCCAAGTTGCATAGGTCCGCCTTTGTGTTCCAGGCAGTACATAGTTTGATATCGGACAACCATATCATATAGCTGCCATAGGAACGATCAGACGAAATGTAGGTTCAGATATGGAAAAATTGTGTGCTTGATCAAACTCGGCATTAAATAGTTTTAGTCGTCAGCATCGAAACTATGGAAGGAATCGATCGGAAAATTTATTTTTGTATGGACGTCCAAATCATATATCATATACACAGCTCATGACTTGGAGATAGTTTGTCTTTAAATTGATAGAGTGTACATACGTTGGAAATGCCTTGTGAGTTATTCCAAACAAACAAAACAAAAAAAGTAAGAACGCGGTAGTCGAATATGCTCGACCTTAAAATCCCCTATATACCTGGGTCAAGAAAATATTTTGGTTAACAACAGCATGCTTTGACTTGTTAAAACTATAAAATAAAGCCCGATATATTATTGAAAATTAAATGTTGATTAACTTTTTTGTTTGAAGTACGATTTCTTCATGAATATTGAAAGGTATAAATATGACATAATATGTGCATATATACACCATATCGCAAGGCACTAGCTTTGAAATTGATTTCAAATTTGGAGGAGTGGCAGAATTGTCCAAAGAGTGAAAGATTTCTCAACTGTATGTACGATATATACTACACGACAGCCTCTATATCAATTTTGATCCAGACTATACGAGTCTGGATCAATCTATATTATAAGCTCATCGTCCTGGTCAAGAATATATATATCCTTAATGGACATGCTTTCTGCTGCGCTGTTACATACAGTTGCACCAAAGCATTACACCCTATTTGTCACCTTTTCAATGAGTACAGGGTAGCAAATAATCATTTACATTTAAAGATTTATGTAAAGAGTTTACGAAATGGAACAATCCATTAACTGATATTTAATAATCCGGAGCATAAGTCGATTCGACTGCCACACAAAAGAAACAAGGAAAGAGCATTGAAAAAAGGCTTGAGAAGAAAGAATGAACAGAATATCCGATATAAATGTCGCATTGAGGGATTACAAAGCGCAAATTCTCATACTTAGATTGCCAGCACTTAGAACGCGAGACTCAATTAACCACACACAAATAAAAATAATTGTTAAACCGACTTTCATGGTAGATGAGTCATGGAAGTACATACCTTTGTATGAGGTACATAAACCAAAACAACAACAACCACAAAAAAACAAAAAACAAAAAGAATAGTTAATGCAGAGATCGGCCAACTGCTCGGCGTTGGCGACAAACGCAAACTGAGTTAACTGTGAACCGAGAAGCGTATTCTGCTCATTTTTTCAATTGTTCAGTAATAAATATACAATCTATACAATAACAAAAATAACGCATATGACATTAATTACCATTGGCCTTTCCGACCATCGCTAGTCCATAAAAACGGCGATATGAGCTAAAAGTTTTAGTTGCCTTTCATGTCTGAAGTGGATGTGCACTTGCTAACTAATAGACATTACCCACGCTGATACGTTAAGGGAATTAGCATTATTATTTAGGCCTGTTCTCGGATTGAAGCCTGATTTATCGAAAACCGGTTTCAACAATTTGTGAACCATTTTCAAAATATCCCCAACAGACGTCAGTTTCCGTTTCATTTGACGAGGTTTGTTTTACGCCAACAAGTTGTTGAATGACTATTTAGCCAAAAAAAATTATATTCTAAAACAATCAATTGGCATCCAATATACTCATCTGCTTGGGAAAAAAAACTATTTTCTGGCCTTTTATTTCGAGTAAAGGAGCCATTAATTTAGACATCAATGCTAACGAGGCAAGTTTGTATGTATTTGGAAATGTGTTTCATTTTTTAAAAGTTTTACTCTCGATATAGCTATATGCTATAGTTATGGGATATGGATAATTGTTTGAGTAAATGTAGCCTCCATAATGAAATTAATAGTCGATTTTGATGAATCAACCCGATGAATGCTATATAATACACGATTCGGCAATTTCAAGCCTATTCAATGCATGTCAAATCAAATGAACATGTACATATATATATAAGCATATATTTATAATCTACTCATCATCGATTCGTCACACAGATCGTGTCAGAATTGCCATTGCGTTCAGGAAACACGTTGGGACATCATTTGGATATATGTATATCCAGTGCAAAGTACTCAATATACATATAACGTATGTATACAGCTTTTATGACATATACCGCAGATAACTCTCTAGCTGTTATCTATCAAGTATATTCGATAAACGAATATAAATCACCATAAATTTATAAGCAATCATATTTCAAATGGGTACCGGGCGGGTACTGTGCCGCTGGACAGATCAATGATTAGTTATCTTTATGCATTTTATACCAACAAGTACGTCGAAAGGTCGTGCAAGTTGCGATTACTTAAGTCTGAAGTGGTATTCACATTTAGCCTATTTAGCAAAAGACCCTGGCAGCCAAAGGCTGCTCTCGAGAATTTGCCTACGAGTGGATAACCTCGCTAATTTGTTAACAATGAGAATCAACCAATGAAAACAAGTAAGAGGTTCTAGTTGGTAGCTCCCGACTAGGGGATACCCTGAACCCTCTGCTTCCAACATCAAATGCATATATATATTCTATTTTAGAAGCTATATGTCTTGTTTAATGACTCTAGCTCTTATTATTTACCAAAATTGTCCAAAAAACAGGATATCGATAACGATTTTTATCGATTGCTTGGTAACGGAGTAAGTTATCGATTATGGGAAACAAACTGATTTGCGCAGGCACTAAGAGCACCTACATCTAAAATTTCAAGTCTATAGCTCTTATAGGTTCTGAGATCCTTGCGTTCAGACTAACGGACGGACAGACAGACGGGCTAGATCGACTCAGCTATTGATGCTGATCAAGAATATATATACTTTATGGGGTCGGAGATGCTTCCTTCTGCCTGTTACATACACTTGGATTTTGCGCAAATACAATATACGCTTTTTACCCATTTTTAATGGGTTCAGGGTATAAAAATAACGAATTGGCAGACATCATTTAAGTTATACATGAGTTCTAAACGGTATTTAAAATTCCTAATAAAATACCGCCAGCTGGCGCTTCGCATTACCAATAAATATGAATTAATAAATCGTAATATAACAAGAGTTATCCAGTGCCTGACTAGTAGATACCCTGTACCCAACAGCGAGCTGCAACTGCTATACCTTTGCAAAAGGTCACGTACTCCAATTATTGCTAAGCTCTAAATATAGCGTAAGCGAATTTTCGTGCCAGATATCCAATATATAAACTAAAACAACCCTTTATCATCTATTTGAGTGCAGAAATACAAATCAGAGACACGTGTGAACCAGATGACTCACGCGGCACTCGAAACTCGTTTGGGTGTACTTGTCAAATTATCTGGAAAAATCATGCGTCGTAGAACTCAAATTCGATTAGGTACATATGTACATATATACATTGCTAGTTATAGTTTATACATAACCGATAACAAAATACAGCACACTCAAGGGTGAAAACATAAACATGCCAATCGGCACCCATATAATTTTAATTGGACTCCTGGCACGTGGCAAATACACGCGTGACACATGCGTATAAATGTTGGGCGGCATTTTTGAATTTATTTATATTCGCCAAATATTGTTCTATCATTAGATGACACAGAGTTTCTAGTTCTTATTTTTTATATGTGTCAAAGAGTTTTGTGCAAATCCCCATGAATATATATTCTCAATCAAAGCACAAAAAAAAAACAAATACTTCATATAGCCAAGTCTGGTCGAGCTCAAGAACGTTAAGATTTCAAGACTTGAAGTATATAAATAGATCAAATATTCTAAACACATTTCTGAGCTGAATTAGGTTAGGTCAGGTTAATAAAGAGGTATGTTTAGTTGATCAATACAGATTTAAGCAATATCAACCCTACGCACAGTGGGCAATTTAGCTGATTTAGCGTGAAAAACTAGATTTAGATTTGATGATAAATACTTTGTCCAAACGGGTAATAGTTGCTAATATACATGTATAAATATATGTATATACGATTATAATCGAAATTATTTACACTTACCAATAGTCTAACATCCAATTTTGTTAGCTGCCTTTCCGTAACCGTTGATTTGCTTAACTCAAAGGGCCTTAACTTGTTTATTTGCTTATATGTATAGATATTAATAATTTCCAATTTGTTAATAGATGTATAGAAACCTACATTAAATAAATTGATTTGTTCGATTTGCAATTAAATATTTTTGCAATGTCATCGTTATTTAGGTATTTATAATTGGCAGCATAGGTTTATGCTTGAAATACACATGTCCAATACCGTAACGGTGTATTTTGAGTGCGATTTATAACGGTTACTGTATGTTTATTTTGCCTGCCTGCAATGCCATGAATCACGATGCGCATGCAACAGACACGTCAGTTTCTGAGTGTGTTTATGTTCCGTTAGACGCAAAGGCAGTGTTGTCAAACAGAAAGAACTTGTTGATATACATATAGACATGCACATATACATATATATTTAAATATGTATGTAATCTTTGTCGAAAAAAAAAACTCACTTTCCCGTTATATGGGGGGCTTACTAGTAGCTCAATACTATCCCGTTATCCTATTCCCCACTTGTGTACATATGTATGTATGTATTTACAAGCACATGCATGCGCAGGTAAATATCAAAATATCAAACAAAAATCACAAACTAATAGGCTTAAAAAAAAAAAAAACAAAAACAAACAAAACACTACGTTTGATTACGAATGTGTATTGCAATATTCGACGTTGCTGCCTTCGTCCTCGGCTAAACAGCTGTGCGGTGCACACACAGTCACACACTTGAACATAGATGCATACAATAAAGTGCATGCAAAACAATACTCAGCGAACTAATATTACTTTTAACGCTCGCGCACAAATGCAAGCCAACTCTCAGCGGTAACTGAAAAGTACGCCCACAGCACAATTTAACCAAGAGAAATTTATAACTAAATACAAAACAGATGTGAGAAATTAGGGCTGTGTATGCGTGCGTGCTGTCAGCTGCGAGAGTCAATTGTCTATCGGTTATCGACAGATGCTGTCGATTAGAGTGACCATATATTGGAAATATGAAAATTTGAATGCAACGGACAAAACGTGCATCGCATAAAAGAAATAGAAAAAAAAAAGAATTTAATTATTTATTTATTAATTGATCAAATTCAATAATTTAAAGCACATAATCATGCCAAATACACTTGAAAATCACGTGTGCACTGATTTTTTAATAATTTTTTATTGACACGCCCATTGCTCTATCGGCATTTTACAAAGTATTAAATAAAAAATCAATTTTGCTCGCACGACTGCGTGAACATATGTGTACCGTCCTGAAATTCCCAGTCGAAATGCTATGGTATATTCAAAAACGAAGAGTCATGTTCATAAAATATTCATTTTGACCTGTTTTACTAATATTCAACAGAATGTAAAAGACATGCCATGGAATTTTCAATATTTATAAGAATGGGTCAACGAATCCATTGTGGGGCTTATATAAGCGAATCATTTGCCCCAATGAGTCGACAATTTAGTATAATTTTGATAATTGCTCATGAAATGACTTTCATTGGTAAACAATTAATTTCCCTCACGTTTTAGGAGAGACTGACTCAGTTAAGTGCATCGACTTTTTTATGACCTCGCGCAGGATATTATATTGCAACGCATAAAAGAAATCATCTTAAGATCCTGCTTTCATTGAGTCCGAGAATTTAAAAAAGGCCCAATCAGACGATATTCTATATTCTGTATTCTACATATTCTAATCTGTCAGTAGCTGGATCATCTATAGAGTCAAGTATAGATATATTTCGCTTATATCAATGGTTGAGTTCATTTAAGATATATGTTCTCCTATAACATACGTTCCAATGCCAAAATATTGGTACAACTCGATTGTTATACCCTAAACTGAAATCGAAAAGCAGTGTAAAGAAGGGTATTATGGTTCTGTGCAGACCGAAGGAAACATATTTAACCCAACAAGACTTAAGCTTAAATAGTCGAGTCGATTTGGCCATGTCCATTTGTCTGTCTGTCTGTCCGTTTGAACGGTTTGATCCCGGAAAGCATAAAGTTTAGTGATATTTGAACGTAATCCCGCCTGAGCTTGTTTCAAATTATCGATATATTGTCCCAATTCCTTAAAATCGCTCAAAAATCCAATATCAATTTTTGTGCTTAGACGAAAGCTAGAACATTTACATATGCTGGCAGCACGGCGCAAGGCTGAGCGAAACTCCTAGAATAAGCGTTTGTTTGTCGAATTTTACCTCACAAAAGACTGTGCATGTGGAATGTTGTCTTGGGGTTTATATACGTCATGGGGTCACCGAGAACCATTGCGACTGCGTTCGGATCCCGTCCAACTAGAAGCTGCTGAAGAGATTGACCTGAGCTACGACCTTTAGGAGGCAAACTTCACGTTCGATACAGTCGTTTGAGAGATACCATGGAAGGCCGACCCAATACTTGAACGGCATAGGTCCAAATGGACATCAGCCTCGATTTGATGAGCAACGCCTTGGTGGAGATACGCAGGCTATGGTCGCCTATCAGGCTTTTGGAGCCCGCCAGAAGTGCCTGCATTGCAGATAGACAAGACCTGAGATTGATCTTTCTTCCATCGAACAACTATATTTCATTTTATTGATTTGATTTGCTATTTCCCTTTGTGGATATCTTCTCACATGCCTTTACATTTTTTACAAAGTTGAAAAGCAAAAAAAAAAAGGAAACTAAAGTTTCAGCCAATCGTTCATCGGTTCACAGATGTGGAGCACCCGATCCGGAAACCAAACATAATGTCGAGGCATTGGTTCGCACCAACTTGCCACGGTAAACCGAAGTTCCGGGTGTTCACAACCCAAAACCCTCAATTTATATTTACAAAATATCAGCTTACAGTCATGCGTAGCTAGTTTGACGTAGAAAAGGATATAAAATAAATATGCTCATACATGCCGCTACGTTAGCGTGTATAGTGTAGTGGACCTGAGTAAGTTTTAGCTGATCTCTCTGCAGTATCATTTGCTGGCGGTTCCGACATGCGACGCTTCAGCGCGGCTCGCGTTTCCTGCACCTGGGCAATGACAACATTCATGCTTGCCTGATAGATGCAATAGTCGTTCACATTTAGGCGCACCTTGTTCTTCTCCATGGCGCCATATAGAAACGAGTAGACTATGTGGCCCACAGGTATATAATACTTGAACCAGTTATGCAAACGGCCGCTGCAATATCAAGTAGAAAATCAATATCAAAATCAAAATATATATTATATAACAAGTAAGAGGTTCTAGTCGGGAGCTGCCGACTAGGCGATACTCTTGACCCTCTTCTTTCAACACCAAATGCAAATATATATACTATTCTAGAAGCAACATGTCAAAAAACAGGACTTCGAAATCGATTCTAATCGATCACTTGAAAACGGGGCAAGTTATCGAATATCGGAAACAAACTTGATCTGCGCGGGCACTATTCTTATAGGTTCTGAGATCCTTGCGTTCATACATACGGACGGACAGACAGACGGACGGACATGACTCGACTGATGATGCTGATTAGGAATTTATACACTTTATGGGGTCGTAGATTCCTTCTGCCTGTTGTATACATTTGCACAAATACTCATTTTTAATGGGTTTAGGGTATAAAAAATGGATTTTAAATGTTAAACCGTGTACATGTATTGACTTTGCGCCTTACTTACACCAATTCCGATTTATCATGTAGAAAGTTAATAAATCGCGCCAAATTGTCAACATCCTTGCGCAAGCTATGAACGAAAGATATCAGCTGAATCAATTGCAAATGTCTGGTAGAAAACTCACTTGGCCTCCGATTCCTGTACGGTGGCTCCATCACGTACAAGCCGCACCTCCAGATAGAAACCGTGGCTGTACTTGTAGCGCAAATACTGCATGCTGCCAATTGCGAGCATTTCACTGTCCTGGAATAGTATTATAAAGTCGGCAAGCACCTTGCACTCTAGCTCATCGTTTGTGGAAAATATAATTGTCTTGCCGCAGTAGCGTAAATAGCGCAATATGTTCCAGATTTCGCGACGAGTCGTCGACGGCATGCCGCAGGTGGGCTCATCTAGTATGAATATCTTGTTGTAGGCGACCAGCGAGAGTGCAACGTTCACCTTGCGGCGCTTCTCCGGCGTCAGGGAGCCGCATTTGCGATGCATCCAACCGGTCATGTTCAGCATAAGGCAAATATCGTGCATTTTCTCGCTTATCTTGTGTTCCGTCACGCCCCGTATCATGCACAAGAGCCGGATGTGCTCGCGCGGCGTTAGGTCATCGAGCAACCCACAATGCTGAGGACAATAGCCCACATAGCCCAGTATGGTGTCCAGATCGTACTTGAAGTCCAGGCCCCTTACATAGATCTCGCCAAAGGCAAATCCATCAACGCCCACCAGCTGCCGTATTAGATGACTTTTACCCGAGTTACGGGGCCCAAAGATGCCCATGCTCATATATCTGGCAGAGAGAGAGAGAGAGAGAGAGAGAGAATAGGCAAATGGATTCTAGTTAAACCATGGACAAAGTTTACTCACTTGTTTAGCGCAAACGATACCGTATTGACCTTGTTGCCCTTTACCGGTATCTTGCCCTCAACCTGATCGACCAGAAACACCGATTGCTTGCATTTACTCATGTCCGCATCGGCAATCTTTTGCTTCACATCGGCCACATCGCTATCATCGAAATGATAGGTAGCGGTGCGCATGTCAAGTAGTCTATGGGTAAAATGAGTATTAAATTAATGCCAAATTACACTGAACAATGAGCCGAACCGCTTCGAGCTCAAAATCACAAATGAATTTAACGATCCAAAAGCCGAACCAGAATTTTTTGGTATTAACTTAAAAATATTCCTTAAGTGGATCGAAAAAAGAACCAAGTGTCGGAATCAACGGCTTCTGTCTATGTTAGTCGAGCTAAACTTAAAACTAAGGCCAACAAATCCTTGAATTGCATTTACGATTGGATTTTGCGAAAAGTGTGAAACACGTCTCAAATGATTTTCTTCACCCACCCGATTTCCATCAAGTAGGATGGATATTCCAAAACATGTAAAATACTCGTCAAATGAATTTAAACAAAGATCTTTGAAAATAAGTTTGAGTACGATCGGATGGTAAACAAAAAAGTTGCATCCAACATTGTTCAAATTAAATAATGCATTGGGCACAAACTAATAACAATTTTGCTAGGGCAAAAAAGAAAAATCAATCCTTCGAGCCGGAGTCGAACCAGCGACCTGTGGATATCTATATATGGCACCCAAATTGTGCCCATTAACTACAGTCCATCGCTCTACCAACTGAGCTATCGAAGGCGAATGGAATGCAACGTCGAAGGTGCCAACAAAAGCCCCAGCAAAAAGCGCAAAATCAAAAGCATTATCACGACACAATTGTGTGAGAGGTCAGCAGTTTATTCAATTTATAAAAGCTGTCTACGTGACGAAGACGCAAAGCGCAATTATGTAGGGCAGGTAAACGTTATCTATCAAGCCGAAGCGTAAATACACTTCGGCATATGTCTTTGGAGAAGGAAAAATTTAACAAAGCGGTCCAGTTTTATACCCTGTCTTTGCTGAAAATGGGTCAATTAAGGTATATAGGTTTAGGGAAATTGTATGTAACAGTCAGATAGAGTTCTCGTGTAATATACATAGACGAAAAATATTACACTCTTTAAATTCCCCCCAAAGTGGAACAACTTACTTTGAATGCGTTTTCAGTTTTATACCTATTGAAAATGGACAAAAATAAAAGGTATGTTGTTCGTATCGAAATGTATAAAGGGGGCAAAATGAATCATTTTCAAGCCCATCAACTAGAGTGAGAACTGCTGATACTTCTATTAAGCGGACCACCTCTGTTGAGCGGACACTCCTGTTGAGCAGACAACCCTCTCCTGTCGATATATTCCTGGCCGTTTGTCGAT